GAGAGAGAGAGAGAGAGAGAGAGAGAGAGGGGAGGAGATAGAGACGGGGGTTATGATAGGGGTGGCACGTAAACCAGCGGCACAGCCCTTCCCGTATTCTTCATTGTTTCTTTTTCTTTCTTGCAGTCTGATCACGGGGTTAAGTTGAACAAAAGTCATTTTCAGATTATTATTATTATCCCTGCAGAAAACAAACCTTTTTCACTTTCCAAATGTGTGTTGTTGTTTTTTACAGTTATCAAATCAAAGTAAATTCGATTTGGCTTATCATGTCTAGCGTGCTATAAAGAATTTATTACCTGAGGCATATTGGTATATTTTATCCTACGAGTGAAAGTGCCAATTTTTAATCACAGGTTTTAACGACTGGTTACAACTGACAATTTCTCAAGTAGGATGGATCATGATCTACCACCATAACGAATGTAATGAATTGTTATGCAATACTGATATCAGCTGACGAAAAAGATATGGAAGAACAAAGTCGAAAGTAACCAGCCAATTGGTCAAGTGGCCTCACTCAGGAGTCTCATATGAAAACAAAATTCTCAATTGTAGTTTGTGTAGATCTAATTGTAAGCGTTTTACGCCTGTATCGACACGACATAGATCATGTTTAGTGGCGAGTTACGTCGACCGTGCTCGTTCGGGAAAAAAACCTGGGCTGATAGGGGTACAACATCCCAGCGTATAATATACGGAAAGAAATACTCTATAAAAATACGATTTCAACCTGGGAATAGGACTCACATCCTTTGTGAGCAATCCCGAAGAGCCTAACCCCTGCACAGATGAAGCCCGTCTCTTACCTTCCACAGGCCGTCAGTACAGGAATAGTAGAAAAACCACAGAGGAATCCACATGAGTGTGAAGAGCACGATGAGATAGTACAAAAGACCTGCCCAGGGAGGGTCAAAATCTTTCATCTGGTAGGCCTTGAAAACGATGACTCCCTGTAAAAATAAAAGAAATGAGAAAATAAAGTTTGCTTTTGCTAAACATTTGGGAGGTTAACTTGTAAACGTATTAAAGTCAGAGAAATTGTACTGCATATCCACTGATAACCCGGTATATTATTAACAGAATAGAGTAAAACAAGGCAAAAACAGCAGAATTGGGTATATATTTTATTTCACAGATCATACAGCCCCATCAAAGGAAAGCATTGAAAGCAGCTTTCTCTGATATTATCCTTAGAACTCCAGTACCATTTAAGTGACACGGCATGTTTACAGAATGAAAAAGTGAACAAAATATCTTTTTTTTTCTGAGGAAGCTCAACTATTTTTAAAGTTGATAAATTATTGCTGTCCATATTATTCGTCATTCTACAATAAAACGTGTTATCAGTATCCGCATGACAGCATACACAGGAAACACATTACATCAAGACAAGTAAAACTGAATCGATTAATACTGGAAGCATGCACAATTCCATAATCTACATTCCGTATCTCGATGAATTATTAAACGTTATTGCTCGCATTAGAAAAATCAATTCCATATTTTGGGACACATAGATCTAACATTCCTTAATGTTCCCTCAAATTAGAATATCAAAATAAAGTGAAAGACCAAGGCCTGCTATTTGTAAAGAAAGGCACCGGTCATTTTTTACCATCACCTATCTAACTCCTACTGGATTAATACATTTTCAGCATATAATCGGGTTACAAACAGAGTACTAATTATGTGTGTAGTTTACTCCTAGCTTTATTAACATTTAATGTTCATTATAAAAATGCGTGTGACTGAGCGTCTATTTTTGAGTGCAAGCATATTGTTTTACTATTATGTTTTTTGGTTACAGATGTGTATGCAGGAGAGGATGTGTGGGAGTGTACGCGCGCGCGAGATTGTACGTACACTCCCACACACCCGTGTGTGTGTGCGTGTGTGTTGTGAGTTTGTGTGTGTGTTTATGTGTGTGTGTGTGTGTGTGTGTGTGTGTGTGTGTGTGTGTGTGTGTGTGTGGCTGTCCTGTGGTTTAATTTAGAAACATTTGTAAATATCAATAAAAGTAGATTAGGGATATTCTGTAGATTCTAATTTTACTTTCTCTTGAAATCTTAATAGTAGTTACTACGCCTATTGCCCATTTGCTTACTTTCCAATTATGCACCACCTTGTCTGCAACCCACGCGACGCCACTGGTGTGGTGAAACACCAAACCAGTGTACTAGAATCTGGACAATGAAGGTTGACCTTATCTAATCTTATCCTGTCTTATCTTAGAATGTTCTATCCAATTGAACCTACGTAACGTCAGGAACCATAACACCAGCAATGACAACAGCAGTAACAACAATAGCATCACAATAACACCAGAAGTCACCACCCCACCACCTCCATATTTTTTCCCCTTCTTGTTTTGTTTTTCTTAAAGCATAACACTTTCTGCCATGTTTTTGCACAAATTATCAATACCGGCACAAAATCAGGACGCCAAACCAAGAATAAAAACAAAAAAAGCAACCCCCCACCCTTAAACAAAACAGAACAACAACAAAAAACAACAACATCAGAACGTCAGTAGCAGTACCCTGTCACAAGTAGCAACAACAGTATCACAAAACGTCAGCGGGGGCTGGGGGGGGGGGGGGGGGGCTCTAATGGCCTAGAGGTTTAGGTGTTCGCCTCTCATTCAATAGGCCACTGGTTCGAATCTGGAAGGCGATATAATTTTTTTTCTCTAACATTTACTCCTTTCACATCCTTTTCGGCTCTCTAACAAAGTTCTATCGTCTGCTTTCGTCTCCACTCTCATCCCCCACCCCCTCATCTCCTTTGCCCTCTTCTCTGGGCTCATAACTTTTTCTGCAGCCTTTCTTCAGCTTCTCCTTTGCTCCCTCTTACTTTTGTGTATCAGCCACACCCCTTTTCTTTAAGCAGGAAAGATCTACACCTTGCCTTCTCGGACAAAGGCGAAAAATCTCCGAGGTCCTGTGTGCAAATTGCGCAAGTTAAAGATCCCTTGGTGGTCCAAAATCGATAAGAATTATAGTAGGCTTGGGTCGCCACCCGGGCAAAATTAAAAATTTCCTACCAACTGAAAATATTTAATGTGTCCTGCGCGCTCATATGACCTTAAGTAGTTGCAAGCGCCGTAAAACACTTACGAACCTCACCCAAAAAAAACAACACCAAAAAAAAACAACAACACACAAAAACCCACCAGCAACCACAAATCTGCAGTATACTAACGTCATCAACAAGTACAAAAAGTGCTTACCAACAACAGCACAGGGGAGACAAGTGTCCATGTGAGTTTGAAGTAAAAGAAGGGACTGTACCCAAGCATGGCTTTCATGTCTCCGGCAAAATTGTTGTATCCTGAAATAAGTTGTATTGTTTTAACGACTCTTGTAACACTAGAGATATAATCTTATTTAAGAGGCGGAGTCTTCAATTATAAAGTTCTTGACAGACAGGACTGACCCAAAGGGAAAATTCACGTTTTTTACCGATCCCAGGGACACAACGCCGGACTGACCTGAGCCTCCAATCTCCGAACCGGCAATTTCGCGATTACAAGTGCGTCATGCAAAATCGTTGTAGATAAATAAGTAAATAAATAAATAAACAAATAAATAAACAAATAAATAAATAAATAAATAAATCGAGAAACAAAGTTAGCAGCAACGCCATAGAACATGAACAAGATATCATTTTCTTCGTTATCAGCACTAAAGCTGATTCATATTATAATTTATCTCTTTAGAGCAAGCATTGCGAGGTGTTTTTCGTCTCTTTGATTTTTTTAAATGTAAGAAAATCAAATTCACCCAAAATTTCGACTTCATCAGGCAATGCCTTTTAATGATTAATATTTGGCACCATTTGCAAATGAAAAAAGGGCACTCGCTGAGAAAAATAAAAATAAAACAAGCAACGCTTACGTGAGTGAAACCGTGGAATCGTTTCTAGCTGTAAAGAAGACTCAATTAATTTAGAAGCCTAAAGGGTCATACGAAGTAATCCATTCATTTCTACAGTTTTAGTCCCAAAAAAAATTCAAACATGATTTAAAAAATTATCATTTCAGGAAAATTTCTTTTTTGGGGGGGGCCAAGAGTCCTGATGAAGCATCAAATTTTGTCAAAAATGATCTTCCACCGAAATGACCCTCAATGTGTTTGTAAGGACGTAACACTATAACATTGAACAGATACAATTAATTTAGAATTTAGTTCAGTGTTCTGTTGACAGCGGTCGGTATAGTCAATTATACTATTTTAGCGTCTACAAATGACGGCTTGCACTGTAGACTAAGCTTCCAAGAAAGTTGAGATTGTTTCAGACTTATCAGTTCTGCTCGAATAGTATAGGCTGTAAAGCTCATAGATCTTTCGGTTGAGCTAGGATTTGCGCTATACAATTAATGCCATCTATTATCTTTAAAACTATTAATTCACTATTCAAACAGATTCACGGAAAGCGGTCAACGTAATTTCTCCTGACTTATCCGTATGACTTCCGTACTATTTGAAACACAGTTAACATTAAACATTTATTTATTTTTACCGAAAGCAGTATCGTAAACGATTGATTGGGAGTGGTTACGTTGGCTAAGTATATAGCGGAAACAAATTTACATACTATTATGTATTTTCCTTATTCTCTTTTTCAAAATTTTACTAACTACGGAAGCAGGTGTACCATTTATTGATTGGCAACGATAGTTACATAGTGTTGTTTTGGCGTTTGCGTATACTAAGCTGGTTCATGTGGATAGTGCACACCAACAAAATGTCGAAGATACTCGAGAGACTAGTTTTTCCCACCCAGTGTTTGGGAAGCCAAAAAAACCTAGATGTATAATAAACGCTATCAGCATATTATTATAGTGCAATGCTACGGGTTGTTTTTTTTTTTTTTCAAAAAGAAAAGGAAGAACCAAGCGAGAAACACAACACAACTCAGAACACACATGTTTATATACAGACATCCCCCCCC